TTTTTTTTTTACAGTCAATTTGAACCTGAACTCAAATTTAAGGAGCAACCGGCAAACAGATAGGAATGTGTTCTTGCTTTTCTAGGAGGGAGGAAGTTCAGATGCCTATGAGTCTAGGAGGGAGGAACTTCAGATGCCTATGAGGAAGGTTGGCTCTCTCCAGTCTTGCAAGTTTCCTAAGTCTACTGCATCCTATTAAGTATGCACATATCCACTGGTTGAGCGGTTGGGCACAAATATGAGGGCCCAGCAAGGGGCCTGGACAAAAGTGGTGGCCATGTCCAGATCAGACTGGGTGTAAACTGAGTCGATACCTTGACTCAATCATGCTTGATTCCAACTTTGGTGGAAGCAGCCCAAAATGTCCATCAGCAGATGAAAGGAAAAATAAAAATAAAAATAATATATATACATATAGCCTTAAAGAGGAAATAAATTCTGACACATACTACCACATGAATCCACATTATGATCAGTGAAATAAGCCAGACACCAAACGACAAACACTGCATGAAAGACTCCACTCATGTGAAGTACCTAAAGCAGTCAAATCCACAGAAACAGAAAGTGGAATGGTGTTTTCTAGGCACTGGGGGAGAGGGACTAGTTAGTGTTTAATGGGCACAGAGTTTCAGTCTGGATGACGAAAGAGTTCCAGAGATGGATTTGCACAGCAATGTACTTAATGCAACCTCAAGTGTACGCTTAAAAATGGCATAAGTGGCACATTTTATATTATGCATATTTTACCACATTAATAAGAAAAGGTAACTCACCTTTGAAGTTGCCGATGTATAGGCCAGGCAGGATCTAGGGGAGAGACACAGATCAGATGTCAGTGTTACAGACCTGACGCTGACAGTGTTTTGCACACAAAGGCTGGGCCCTCACCAGAGCACTGGGAGCACATCCCAGGCCTGTTGCCTGCCACACCCACTTCCCAGCACCTTCCCAGATAGCTAGCACAGATGACCTGGCATCCTTGTCTCCAGGGCTCTAGCCTGCCCCATGGCCACTAGAAAGCCTGATCAAATAGCCTGTGAATGGCCGCACGTTGGTGTCCATCAGCTCATGGGCCTTTATTTTTTTTTTTTTTTTTAAGCTCATGGGCCTTTAAAGACCAGAATTCCCCCAACAGATCTACATGCAAGCCCTTCGGGGGTCCTTGGCATTCTGAGAGTCTAGTCCCAAACCCAAGGGCCTCCAGCCTTCCACATCTCCTGCCTACCCTTCCCCCTTGACTCCTCCTTTTCTCACAACAATGTGAACATCCGCCACTTATCTCAGAACTCCAGTAAACCTCCCTTTGCTGAGGCCTTTGTGCATGCTGTTCCCATGTCCAGCAGCTATTTTCCTACTCTCCTCCTCCTTCAGGTCCTAGCTCTGACTCACACCCTGGAGGGGCCTGTCCTGAGCCCAGGCTCTGGGGTAGATGCTAGCTTCAGCATCCACAGTCCTCAGTACTCCCCTTGTAGTGATATATCACAGGGGTATTGCTAGGTGAAGGTCTGTCTCCTCTGCTAGAATGGAAAGCTCTTTGGACAGCAAACACATCCTGTCACTCACTGCTGCATACCCAGCTCCTGGCCCAGGGCTTCACTCATGATTACTATTCAATAAAGAGTTACTAAATGAATGAATGAACTGTCCAAACATGCAAGTTAGTAAGAACATATAATTGCTCCAAAATGTCTACTTTACTAAGGCAGTGATTCTCAAACAAGACAATCCATCAGAATCACCAGAAGCTGTTAAAAATTCAGATTTCTGAACAAGCCCCAGCCCCAGCCCCTATATAGAATGATTCAGTAGAAAGATCTGAGATAAGAACCAGGGACTGGGTTTTTCACAAGCAACCCCCCACTTTGCAAAATACAAAGCTAATTCTTGTCCTGCCACTACTTTGTATGAAGAGTCTTAAATCTTTGCTTTGGGAGTTACATCACCTGACATGATTTCCAAGTGCATAGAGCATACTGGCCACTGCAGACCCCTGGTGCCCTGGCGACACCCTCCTGTCAGTACTACCATCTCACATCCCACTCAGCTTCATCTGCTTCACACTCCCTATTTTTTATCCATTCCCACCAAGAAAGCTGAAAGTGGCATGTAGTAACATTCTTCATGTGTGCAGATTTCTTTGAGCATCTTCCTGACAACCAGCTGCCTTGCTAAAAATTGATGGCATCTGTTCAAGTCACTGCAGGGGGAATGCACTGTGGCAGTGTGAAGGCAGTCTGCTGGAGCTCAGTAATACTAGGTCTAGGGCTAGCTTCTGTGCTGGGGTGAGGAGGTTGCCAAGCTGAGGGACAACAGAACATAGAGACCAAACGGGGACACTTGTGAGAAGGAAAAGAGACTCCATTAATAATTACAGTTGACCCTTGAACAATGAGGGGGTGGGGCATCAACTCCCCACACAGCTGAGAATCCATGAATAACTTCTGACTTCCCAAAAATTTAACTACCAATGGCCTTACCAATAAATAGTCTATTAACGCATATTTTGCATGTTATACATATTATATACTATATTCTTACAACAAAGTAAGCTAAAGGAAAGAAACGGTTATTAAGAAAATAATAAGGAAAAGGAAATACATTTAGAGTACTGTCACAAAGTCCTTGCGTAAGTGGACCCGCATAGTTCAAACCTGTGTTATTCAAGGGTCATCTGCCCTCAGGACAGCAGGCAAGGCCCAAAAGTGAGCAGGGTATGGAAATGTGTGATCACCCTGGCTCACTGAATACTCAGGGAGGCAAAATTAGTTTGGAGTGCCCCATGGGATTGAGAAGTCAGTTATATCCATGGCTGAAGTCATAGCACTGAGGTAAGCTGGGTTAGCTCTGTAACTAGGAACATGTGAAACAGTATCTCAGAGGAAAACATCAGCATCCACTGCCCAGGAGCAAAAACATTTGACAGGTCTTTCTTGAAACAGAATCAGTCTTTGGGATTCTCCTGGGAGGAAGGGTGGAGTAAATACTATATCGTTCCTGTTTTAAAATATAAGAACAATACAAGTTCATCTTGGAGATGGATCAAACTGATATCCTCTGGCAGCTCTTGGCTGCATTGAGCTTTTTCATGTGCAATCTCCCATTCTCCAGGGTCTCTCCCATCTTTATCAGGAGGCAACATTAGATACTAAAGGGCATAGTCATCACGTGGCTCTCTTGGCTGACAGCAACAGCAACTTCCTTCTTAATCAAACTTGATTCAGGCTCCTTTGAGCCTTCTTCTTGACTAGGCCTCATCTGTGGCCTGCCAGTTTTAGCAAAGAATCCTGCTAAGCCAGTTTATCAAGAATCCTCCCATTCTTGATATCCAATCAAGCTCATCTTCCTCTACCCTTGATATCTAATCAAGTTCTTTTCAGTAATTTTCCATCTTTCCCTCACCTTGCCTATTGGCTATAAATCCCCACTTGCTCCTGTTGTATTGGGAGTTGAGTTTCTCACTTGCACTAGTATCTCCTCCTATTGCAATAGTGTCAAATAAAGGCTTCCTCGCTATTTTTAGTAAGAATAATTTTTCTTTTATAACATTGACCACAAATGGCTCCAGATTCGTATAACTGACAGTTATAATGAACCCCAAAATCACAGAACGTGTAACAGTAGATGAATGGTTTACTGATTCCTGTCACAGGTGGACTTCATGCTGGGCACTCAGGATACAGGTGTGATGGAGAGAGAGGGCCCTGCCAAAGGCCTACTACTTCCCTTGTGGAGCTTCTTGCCTAGGGAAGGAGGAGGTGACTTAACCACTCTGGGATCCCCAAGGATTTGCAGAAGGCAGCCACACTTAAGGGACCTACAATTCAAGAGCAGTGGGTCAGGAAAGAGGGAAGGACAGGCAGGGGAGCAATGGAAACCACCAGGGCAGAGAAAGAAGGCCAATCTCTACCAGGAGAGAGCATGAGGGAGGCAGAGACACAGCAGGGAAGAACAGGAGGAGGCTGTGGTCCAGGCTGTGGACAAGGCTGAATGCAGCAGACACCGGCAGCCATGGAAGGCTTTCAGGGCTCTAAATTAAGTACCACTAAGATGATTAAGATGTGTGGGGCCATTAGAAAGATATTTTCATATGTTTTCATTTAATATATCTTGGAAATGCCATGATAAAAATAGAGGAAAGGTAAAGTTGTGTATGCAGCCAATGTCTTCATTATCATATTACCTACATAAGGGGAACACTGGGGACTGGTGGGAAGGGTCCGAGGAGAGCCACTTCTCTATTTCTCTTTGCACTTTTCTATATGGTTTGGATGTTCCAATTGTGTGCATGCATTACTTCAATTTACTTTTTTTCTTTTTAAGTTAAGAGGGGTTATTTAGGGAAAAGATTATGGCCCAGTTTTTCTTTTCCTTTTTGCACTTCTACTATTTTCTCTACCAAAATAAAATAATAGATTTCATATTATTTTTTAAATAAAATAAAGCAAGGACATGAGATTCTACAACCATGGTTTTATGATTCCTAAATCCATCCTTTAGAAGCCAACTCCAGTCAGGGCTATCTAAAACAGAACATTATCTTCCCACCCCCATTATCAATTCCTCAAGTTTCCTGATGATGTCACCTTCTCCCAGTCCCCCAGAATGAAAACCTGGACCCCACTCCCACCATGGCACTTCCCCACCCCCGCACCCTCCCTAGTGCCTCTCTCTGCCCAGTGAGTTACAAAGTCCTAGCACAGTCCTGACTCCTTGGCCCATAGTCAGAGCCTCAGTTCATGCATGGGCTAGAGCAGTCTCCACTGAACTAACTTCACTGCCCCACCCAATTAGTTTTCTAATGTCATATTCTCACTGGGTCATTTTCTAGATGATGTTGAGTGGCAAACACTTTCCCAAGAAAAATGAAAGCCAAAACTGAAATTCAACTGAAAATTTCAACGTGGCTTCCACAGGATGGCTCCAACTTACCCCTGAAGGACTTCCCCCATTTCTCTCCAATCTGCAGCCAAGCCAAGTAACCCCCAGTTTCCCAATACCCCTTACTGGTCCTACTTTGCAGTATCACATTTCTTTGCTCTCATCACCCTTGGCTATACTAAAAAATTATAAACCCTGCCAGGCTGGGGGAGCAAGATGGTGGAGGAGTAGGAGACCTGGATTTCGTCTGGCCCCAGGAATTCAGCTGGTTGGGGATCAAACCATTCTGAACACCTACGAACTCAATGGGAGATAGAATAGCAACAACTCTCTGAACAGAAAAGCGACCGCTTTCTGGAAGGTAGGACGTGCGGAGAAGTGAATCCGAGGTGATATTTGGGAGGATAGATGGCAGGGAGGGGGCCTCCGTCAGCCATTACCAGCAAGTGATACAGCAGCGGAGCACAAAATCGGAACTTTTAGAAGTCGGCTCTGCTGAGGGACATCGCCCAAGTGACTAAGGGGGGGGTGGAACCCTCACTGGGACAGTGTGGTCTCAAGAACCTCAGGGTCACAAGAAGACAAGGGGTGCCTGAGTGCGGCAGAGCTCCCAGGTATCGGAGCGGGGAAGCCAGCTGCAGAGACGGAGCCGAGGTGCGGGCTCTCAGCTCGGGGTTGCCATAAACCATGATCTGTGGCACAGTCGGGCCACTGCTCCTCCAGCAGGGACCCGACAAGCGGCAGATCCGGGGAGAATCCCTTCCTCCCCCGGGGGGGAACGGCACGGGGGCGCACTGCAGGGATCTGCGGGGTTTGGAGACTCCACACTGAGTCATGTGCCAGAGATAGAAACGGTCAGTCACAGGCCAGATGAGCACCGAGTGCGGCCGGAGACCGGGGAGATGGGAGTGACTGACTGCTTTTCTCTG